AAGATAAATCCAAGCTTCGTCCTCTTCGGCTGAGCAACCTCTGAGCCATCACCATCCAAATCGGAGCTGCAGTCCTCGGAACCCTCCCCAGCATCATCACCACTCTCAGAACCGGAGCCAAAGTCCTCCTCTCTGCGTGCAGATGTCTCTGACTGAGGATGCGCAAACTTCTCCTCCTCGCTGGAATCCTCATAATCTCTGATAGGCGCTCTATGCCGGCCTCGGCTGCGAGTCGAATCCCCTCTCCCAGCTCCTTGAGAAGGTCTAGATGGCCCAGCCTATAGCGGTGGCATCTGAAAAAAGAGGGCAATTTGAATACATTAGCCGACATGTATACCAGATACAGAGACAAGAAAACTACATGGAATGGGTGTATGCAGATACGATATATGAATATGGTGTGTGTCAGATGCGCTCTACACATGCAGTCAACTAATGCAGTGAAATTGTCAAATTCAGCATGTCATCAGAAGTATGATAAATGCAAGGAAATTGAAAAGTACCGAAACACCAGCGATGAACAGCTGTGTCTCGACCATCTTTTGAAGCAAGTATAATTGTGGTTGGTATGTATTTATATCCTATGTATGAACCTTATCGTTGCTTATGAGACCTTGTGTCAATGCCTTGTAAGATCTGTCAAAAAGGTAGTGCGCTGCCTAAGAAAGCTGGACTTAGAAGGGAGGCTATTTTGACTCCTCCGGCGATCTGGGATCTTACTTGGTTATTGACCATAGGACTCACTAGTGACTCTCCCTTGACTGCAACCTATAGTGTAGAATCTGGGCGTCACAACTTGGTATCAGAGCCTAGGTTCAACCCTTAACCCTCGCAACCCTATACGCGACTCTAGAAGCCCTTACCCCTTATCTTATTTTATTCTATCACACTATTATAAGAAGATTAACTAATAAAAATCTTTTCCACCTTAGGATGTCATCGGGAGGCTACGTCAGTACCGACTCGTGGGGTGTTTTTCATATGCAAGGAAGGAGGGCCATGTCCGTTAGCCCATACTTTAGCCGCCGACGCTGTGAAATCACCGCCGAGGAAATGATCGAGACTGAGATACGTAAGGTGGAGACAGAATACCCCCGCTATACGAGGGTGCAGAAGAGGTCTTTGGTGCAGCGCCGCCTGCAATTTCTAAGCTGGGCAGCAAGAAAGGCAGTTCGAATGGAACAAGACGAACAGAAGATGGACTCCCTGATACACCGAGCTCTGACCACCATGGCACCGACTCAGGCTGAAAGCCACAAATCTTGTTACCACGGGCCAGACGACAATCAACCAATGGATATGGAGCAGCCACCAGAGCAGCAGGGAGCGAACCTAGCCCACCCTATAGAGATATCATCTGAACACAATCCCCTCTCACCAATGTACACCCCCCGCTCTCCGGGGCAAGCCACCGACTCTGCTGATGAAGACCCTGACGAAGACTTTGATTGGTCGGGAAACGAGAACTAATTCGAGGGGTAGTAAAACTAGACTTTTGTAAGATCCGCTGATGAGGATCCCTAGAATAAGATAGCTTGAACTTGTGTGCGTAGATGCTCTTGAATGTAACTCTGATATAGGAGGCCTTTAATAATGATGCCTATTATTATATATAAATGATGCGTTGATCTATGTTATTGATTGTTACTTGCTTTAGTGCACCCTAAGGAAACTGAACCTTTATTTCAAATCTAAGTAGTAAGATTTTCTAAGACTGGAAACCAACTCACCTGGTGACATGAACATAATATGGTAGACACGCGAGCTAATGGCTATACCAAAACCAACAACAATGTACGAAACCGTCCTAGGCATCAACATGAACCCATCCCCAACAACCTAGGTCATCAGATTTTGGAGGAACTAGGGCAAATAAGGAACAATCGGCAAAATGAGAGGACTCGACTCTTTTCTGAGTTTCGAAAGCAGAGACCCCCAAAGTTCACAAGCGTACCGGACCTGAAGATAGCTGAGAATTGGCTTCGGCAGATAGAGAAAATGCTAGACACCATGGGCATCACCGAGGCCGCTGATAGAATAGCTTTGGCAGTATTCGAGCTCGATGATGAGGCTGACCATTGGTGGGAGTTGATGAAGAACACTCGTGACGTAGCAAGCCTGTCATGGAACCAGTTCAGGGAACTATTCTTAAATAAATATTTCCCAAGTACTATCCGCCGAGAACGAGTCAAGGAATTCCAGAATCTGGAACAAGGAAATATGACCGTGACCCAGCATGCTGCAAAATTCGAAGAGCTAGCCCGCTATGCAACTAGACTCGTGGCAAATGATGAAGAAAAAGCAAGGATGTTCGAGTGGGGACTGCATCTTACAATCAGGGGAAGAGTCCTTCCGCAACGACTCCCCTCATATGCCGAGGTGCTGGAAACGGTATTAGAATCTGAGAGGGAAGTAAACGACGCCAGGAAAGATTGGAATAAGAGAAGAGGAAGTCAGGCAACAATTGGACCCCAGAGGAACCAGAAGGGAAGCATGACCTCAAAGCCCTACTCCAGACCACAACCACAACAACAACGACAGCAACCGTAGCAACAGATTCAGAGAGGAGGCTATCAAAGGCCGGCGGGACAAATCCAGTGCTTTCATTGCCAACAGTTAGGGAACAAGAAGAGCGAATGCCCCCAACTCCCTCCATCTGGATATCAAGGAGGAGGTTCCGGAGCAAATGCCCAGGCATTAGGTGGGCAGAAGCCTTGGACAAACAAGACCGGATCTACCGGGCAGCAGCACCAGAAGAGTGGAGGAACTCAGAACACCAAGACCAGTGGTAACCAGAAGGCAACCGGCAGAATCTTTGCCTTGCAAGAGGAATAAGCGGACCCATCTATAATCGAGGGTAATTTAGTACTATACAATTCTTGGGTGCATGTTTTATTTGATACCGGTGCATCACATTCTTTCATATCCTCTGCTTGTGCTAAGTCATTAGAACTTGTATGTGAACCCTTAGCAACTGCCTTAAGTGTAATGTCACCTATGGGAGGATGCGCTCGGGTAAGATCGATCTGTAAGGACTGTAAGATAGGGATGTCGAACCTACGCTTAACTTGCGACCTTCGTGTTATGGAAATGTCGGACTTCGATATTATTTTGGGCATGGACTGGTTGTCCGTCCACCGAGCAGTAATTGACTGCCGTCAGAAGAAAGTGGTAGCTCATACACAAGATGGAACACGTTTCCAGTTTAAGGGGGATAGACAAGACCCCATGGTTTCAACAAAGCATCGGACGCAGTGGCGCGACCAACTTGCCGGTAGGATAGCAAGCCTAATTCTAAATGAGGAAGGCCAAGGAGAAATAGAGCTTCTGCGCATAGTGTGCGATTATGCAGATGTATTTCCCATGGAATTGCCAGGATTGCCACCAACCCGAGAAGTAGACTTTAGCATCGAGCTACAACCTGGAACTACCCCAATATCCATGGCTCCGTATCGCATGGCACCAGCAGAACTACGAGAATTGAAGACACAACTATAGGAATTGCTCGAGAGCGGATTCATTAGGCCAAGTACTTCGCCATGGGGAGCACCTGTGTTGTTTGCTAAAAAGAAGGATGGATCGTTGAGGCTATGCATCGATTATCGTCAACTCAATCGAGTCACAATTAAAAACCGATGCCCACTCCCAAGGATTGATGACCTTTTTGACCAACTTAGAGGCTCAAGGTGCTATTCAAAGATCGATCTCAGGTCGGGTTACCATTAACTACGAGTCAAGGAGGAGGATATACCAAAGACTGCCTTTCGTACTAGATATGGCCACTATGAATTTGTAGTAATGCCCTTCGGACTAACCAATGCACCAGCAGTATTCATGAGCCTAATGAATAAGATATTTAGACCATACCTTGACCAGTTTGTAGTAGTATTCATTGATGGCATCTTGGTATATTCAAGGTCTGAAGAAGAGCATGAGCAACATTTAAGGATTGTCCTCCAAATTCTTAGGGAAAATTAGTTATACGCCAAGGCAAGTAAATGCGAGTTCTGGTTGAATGAAGTAAAATTCTTAGGGCATGTGGTATCAGAAAATGGGATTGCGGTGGATCCAACCAAAGCGGAGGCAGTATTAGATTGGAGACAACCAAAAACTGTGTCGGAGATCCGCAGCTTTTTAGGATTGGCCGGTTATTACCGAAGATTCATCCAAGATTTCTCCAAACTAGCTAAACCAATGACTCGTCTGACGCAGAAGGGAGTAAAGTATGAGTGGGACGAAGCTTGCGAAAAATCCTTCCAAGAGTTGAAGAAGAGGTTAACTAGTGCGCCAATTTTGAGCATCCCAGAACGAGAAGAGGGGTACACTGTGTATTGTGATGCATCTAAAGAAGGGTTGGGTTGCGTGCTCATGCAAAATGGAAAGGTGGTCGCATATGGATCTAGACAGTTGAAACCTCATGAGCGCAACTACCCCACACATGACTTGGAGTTAGCAGCCGTAGTTTTTGCCCTAAAGCAATGGCGACATTACCTGTATGGGGAACAATTTGAGATTTTCACAGATCACAAGAGTCTGAAGTATCTATTCACACAGAAGGACCTTAACTTAAGACAAAGACGATGGATGGAGTATCTTGAGGATTTCCAATTCACTCTCTCATACCACCCCGGTAAAGCCAATGTAGTAGCAGATGCTCTAAGTCGTAAGAGCAGATGGATGATGGCTAAGATCTCCGTCAAGGAATGGGATATGGTTAAGACACTCAATGAGTTCAGGATCCAAGTAGAATCTCAAGATACAAGAGCATATCTTAGCGCACAGAAGGTGATGCCTAAGTTAATGAATGAGGTCATGGAGGCCCAGAAGCACGATCAAGAGGTAGCCTACATCAAGGGACGTCTGGAATCAGGAGAGCCCATGCCCGATTGGATAATTCACCCCGATGGGAGTTTAAGGTACCAAGGTAGATTGTTTGTACCTAGTGACGAGTTACTTAGAGAAAAGGTACTGAAGGAATGTCATCATTCTGCATTTGCGGTACATCCAGGAGGAACAAAAATGTACCAAGATTTGAAGAGGCAATATTGGTGGAATGGGATGAAGAAGGAAGTGGCCAAATTTGTAGCAAGATGTCTGACATGCCAACAAGTGAAAGCGGAACATCAGAAACCGGGAGGAATGTTGCAACCTCTACCAATAGCTGAATGGAAGTGGGAGTATGTGACGATGGATTTTGTGACAGGGTTGCCTAAGTCACCTAGAGGGCGCGACGCTATATGGGTAATAGTAGACCGTCTTACCAAGTCAGCACATTTCTTACCCTATAAGATGACCGACACCTTAGAGTCTATGTGCAGACTCTACATTGGGGAAATCATTAGACTACATGGAATTCCGGTATCTATTGTGTCAGATCGTGATCCATGATTCACCTCTCGATTTTGGGGAAGCCTGCAGGAAGCTCTTGGTACGGAGTTATGTTTTAGCACTGCCTTTCACCCGCAGACCAACGGACAATCTGAACGCACTATCCAGACGCTCGAGGATATGCTGAGAGCTTGCGCAATGGATTTTCAAGGAAGTTGGGAACGACACCTACCCCTAATTGAATTCGCCTACAACAACAGCTTCCAAGCTAGCATTGGTATGGCACCCTTTAAAGCATTATACGGACGACCTTGTAGATCGCCGATTTGTTGGACGGAAGTGGGTGACGCAAATCTGGTAGGACCCGAACTTGTCCTAGAAACTACTGAGAAGGTCAAATTGATCCGACAACGGTTGAAGACTACTCAAGACCGTCAGAAGAATTATGCAGACAGGAGGAGTAAACCGTTGATGTTTGAAGTAGGCAGCCACGTATTCCTAAAGGTGCAACCCAAGCGTGGAGTCGTACGTTTTGGGAGAAAGGGGAAGCTGTCACCATGCATATTTCAATTTACATCGCACTATTTTGTGCACCCTATCTCGCACTGTTTTATGCACTTTGTATCGCACTGTGTAGACTGCTCGAACTCTCTTCACGCGACCCCCTTTCGGAGAGGGCGCGAATTTGGGTTCTAGCTACTACAGTTCGGACTCCTGTCACAGTTCTGAATCTAATCCCACAAAGTGCAATGTAAGACTGATAAATCGCCAAAGAGTCCTAATCCGGAAAATCGTTTTGGAAAATCAATTTTAATCAAAAAGCGCCAAACATGGACTGCTTTGCCACATTTCAGAGTCGCCACCTAAATATTTTGTTTTGGGAAATTTAGGAAACCCTGACTCGTGCCTAAGGCCACGTGTCCGTCATCACCAAAGTTGCCTCGGCTCGGGAACTTGGGTAGGAGGGGGGAAGGTCATGAAATGAGCACCCCTGCTCGCCCAATCAAACGATTCAAGCAGTTTATCACTTAAGCAAAGTGGGCTTAAAACTCGCATTTGATGAATTGTCCCAATCTAGGCAATCAAGCCTCCACCCACAGGCATTCAAGCAGTTTATCACTTAAGCAAATAGCCTCATGGCAAGCATGTTATCATGGCAACACTCACACTCATGCATGTATGCTAAAGTATAAATACTCACAGTGTACTCTGAGCCAAAAAAGAAGCTAATTAGAAATCAATGCATGATCCTAACTATGTGAAATGCCTAATGCAACACATGCAATGATGCAACTAAAATAGGCTCGGCTATCTAAGATGGCATATGAATGCTACAAGTTGATACATGTATTCAAATAGGTATTGAGATACAATGTAGTTTGAATGATGCGCCGAGCCCGATGCATGCAAGACAAATAAATGATGCATGCATGCAAGCATAAGGTAGGCTAATTGAAATATGCCCTAAACTAACCATCAAAAGTGGTTAAGTAAAAGGGAGAAAGAAATGGGGGTTGGAAGACATGCACACAAACACGCACCCTTATTACAACATTTGCCCTCTCAACGGAGGGTCCGAATGAATTAGCTAAGCTAATCTTAAGCTAAGCTAAGAGACTAATCAAATTAAGCTAATTAGACTATTACAAACCAAAAGGAATAACTAGTATACTACTTACTTATTATTACAACACTTAATTAATTAACAAATTAATTAAAGAAATTACAAGTCTATGCTAACTAACAAGTAAAGTATTAGACTACACTGCCTCAGCAAGTTGAAGAAGTTGAACATGCATGCCTCGGTTTCCACCTCGAAAAACTCTCCGGTTTGCTCTTTTAGAGGTTCTGTTTGCAGGGCGTCTTCGAGAACTAGCTGCTGAAACTTACCAAACCAAAGCTGGGGAGTGCACCAGTGGCCTGCCGGCCATGGGGGCTTGCTGCCGGCCACCTGCCGGCCAAGGATGGCCTTTGTCGGAAAAAAATGCAAGGGTGCCGGCCATCAGAGTGGCGCTGCTGGCCACTGGTGTGTTGTGACACTATTCTGCAACAGAGCACAAAATAGAGGAAATGGAGGGTCTCCCAAGGGTATGTACGTACTATGCCACTCCATATCACCTCAAAACATCAAGCGAGAGGCACCATTGGATCCAAGACCATCAATCAAGCAACTCACTGCATGATGGCCAAAGATCCAACTTGCACAAACTCGATGAATGCAC